GTGACAATACCAGTAATTCATAGCGATTAGTCGATTACAGGTTGCAGCTGGTGTTCGAAAAAGTTGGCTCTTCAATAGCCGTTACATCTCTGACCAACGTTCTGGGTTTTGCATTCGGATGCATTGCACCGATTCCTGAAGTCAGAATATTTTGTGCTTCGGTTGCACTGTCCATGTTCATGGACATGCTTTACCAAGTAAGATTGTAGCGTTCATGTCTATCAAAGCTCTTGAAAATTTTTATCATTCACTCTCAAATTTATGAACTGACCAATCCTCTGTAACGATTGAGAAATACGGCTGATATCGTGAATGCTCATGAATTTTCTTCGCTTTCAGTTTGCATTCTACGCACCCCTTCTAGTGGTGTGTGCTGAAAGGCAATCAGTTGCATATGAACAAGTGAAAGTTCCAAAGAAGCCCGACGTTGATTGCACGATAAAAATCAGGAAATTCTTCGCTACTCTTATCAAATGTTCGTTTCAACACTCTTTATTTTGACTGATTTCGACTGATTGATTCAAATCACCACTAAAAAATCATTGCATCAATAAAGCTAACTGAAAAGTGATCAGGAATCGCTTCCGATGGGCATAATTGATCGGAAAAAACTTCAGATTACAGTAAATTCATTGCTTCGTTATGGGCTGAACTGATGTTCGTCGGAGTGATGATAGCGTATTTGTACATCTCGATCTGCGGTATCAAAGCGTTACGCACTGATATGGACGGTTCAATGTTGTTGCCGAGTGATTCGCAGAGTAACGAAGGGATCCGCATCATGAATGAAGTGGTAATCATTATGGGTGTTGCTTCCCGATCGGACAAACTGGAAATCATGAAATCATGGTTGTGAAAATTCATCGAATCTCTTGAAGTTCTTGGAAGTTGCTCTCTTCACTGAAGCGCTGCTAACATCTCCATGACTCATAGCCAATTAGTACATATCATTCAGTCAATCAATGGCCCACCTTCTACGATGTTCAATTACTTCTTCAGAAAAAAATGAACTTTCAGATTTGGCCAGATTATTTGGGCATCAACTATGTCATCAGAAATCCACCAGATTTCTCGGATCCACTTGAGTACAGGAAATTCGCAGTGAGTTTAATCAATTTCATTATGCAGACGAACGAAATGAAATTAGTTATCTTGAATTTACAACTTAACCTGTTAGAATCAGTGTTTGCATTTGAAAGAGTCTTGTTTTGCTGCATAAAATATATGCGTTTCGAAATATCTGGTCTAGCAGTAGATGGGAATGTCTATAGAATGTTTTGATTGTTCATTTTGAAAAGAATGCATGGTTACGTATTTTGCACACTCCATCGATCACCTGCAGTGAGGTCTGCATGAAAGTGATAAATGAGATGAAAATATGCATGACTCAAGCGCAATAACAATGTAAATGCTCACAATGAAATTCCACTGCTGCAGCGAATGATTAATCGAATAGAGACAATGAACAACACAATCGATGCGGGTGCGAATATGATCTGGATTAGGGATTACTTGCGCTATTTGGCAAATCCGAGTGCATCAAAGCTAGATATCTTATTTGGTTGGATGGGACCGGATGGGAATCGAGATGAACCTAATGAAAAAGGTTCTTCTTCTTTCATTTATCGCTTATTTGTTGTGTTTATTATTCTAATTTCATGTAACTGCATTTAGCAGTTTATTAACGCTTATCAATAGATCAGTGATCATGGAATCCATGAAAACATCGCATTCTCATGATCAACACTCCAATCGCTGTTCTGCGAAGGAGGAGTGAAATTTTCAATTGTAGAGAACATAATCCAGATTAGAGAAGTCAATTGAAGTTTTCGGATTTTCATCGCTGCTCTAATA